GCATAAAAACTTTTAGAAAACATAAAAATACAACTCATTCGAAATCATAAGTTCAAAACCTTTGTTAATTCTCAAAATGAAACCCAAAACTTTGTAATTCAACCATGCATGGAAGGAATTCAACTCATAACTTTCAAAATGTCAAAATATAAACAATTGAGAATAATTTATGGAGAATTCTCAAAATCAACAAGTATGAACTTCATGCATGCATGAATTGTTAGAAAATTAAGCTTAATGATGATAAAATGTGCATGCATGGCCAAATTTAACTCATTCCGACCATATTCAAGTTGATTTTAACATTTTCTTTCCAATTCCATGCAAATGATCTTATAGACTTCCAGAATTCTACGTCTACATGGATTACTATATCTCTTACCTAGAGTCCTTATTTTGATGAAATCTAGCGATTTCTTGAATCTCCTCTTCAACTCTCCTCAAATTCTCTTCTCACTCTCTCTCTTTCTAGAGTTGATTCCTCTTTCTTTCTCTCTCTCTCTCTCTCTCTCTCTCTCTACAATCTCAGCTAAGTGTAGTTATGAGCTCAATAACATGTTTATAACATATATATATGGTGGATTAAGTTAGATTAAGTTGGATTAAGTCGGATTAAGTCTAATTAATTATAATCAATTCTAATTAATTTATTCTAATTGTTTTAGTCTGAATCAAATTTTAATTAAACTTGCCATCTGATTCTAAATATTCCAATAAACCTATTGAACTAGTCAATTTTGGTTTCTAAATCCGTTTTAGCTTTCAATTTCGAATTCTAAGTCAATACTCTAACAGGTATTTCATAGACAAACAGATAAACACAAACTAAACACATAATTATGCAAATATGCTCAATGAAATAATCTATAAAAATAATATATACGTTGGGGTCATCATAATTTCGTAGTGGAAGATTTGCTTTGAAAACAAGGGATTCATCAAAAGCCATTGAAAACTCTTCTTCTGTTCATGGAATAAGAGTGTTTCCACACATTTCCATGTTCGCAAATGATTGAGAAGAGAGATTTTAATACTGTTGGCATAGAATCTCATGTTTTTCTTCCAAAATAACCAATAAAATGGAAGAACACAATCCTTTCAACAAAAAATCCTAAGGATCATCCAAGTTATCCTATAAAACAACATCTATCACTCATTAGCATTGACTGTGGATTGAGACACATGGACTAATGTGCTTAGATAATGAGATATGTGAGAAGAAGATGTGTAACAAGGAAAGAACTATATTCTACATATCAAACTTGTGAATTGATGGCTAATTTCTACTCCCAATCACAACTCCCAATCACATCCACAAGGTTCCAAAATACACAATAACAATGGGTCTTAGCTATGGAAAGCAAGAAAAGAGAGAAAAGCTATCAACTCAATGGATGGGTGGCTAATTTCTACTCCCAACCACATCCATGAGAACATATTACATGTTTACAATAGTTATATAATGAGAATAAAGTTAGAAATGAAGAAAAAAAGAGAGAAAAGTGGTTAGGAACGCAACAATCTCACCTCGTAAAAAGAGTGAGCTTATTTGTTTTACAAACTCTCTGTTGGTCCCCTCAAGATCCTCTAAATATGTCTTTGGATGTCCAACAACCTCAGAAAGAAGGTTAGGATTGATCTTCAATGGTGTTTGGATGTCACAAGTTGAAGGAGATAGGTAGGAGATGAAAGAAAGAGAGGAGGGAGAGTCTCAAGCCTTGTGTAAGCCTTAGGTCAATTTTCCATCCCTTAGAAATGAGTTGTCGAGCTCTATTTATATAGTCTTAGGTGTAAATATTTGAGATATTTGTGGAAAGTGTATTGAACAAGCTAAAATTTCGGAAAATGCTCTATTCCTAAACAATTCAGTTGGTCATACCCTTTAGTGTCCGGCCAAATGTATCTTGAGCCGGCCATCATATGTTATCCGGCCAGTCATAAAATACATCGTTGGATACACAAGGTAAAGTTAGCACAAATTGAAAGGAGAAGTGTGTATTTCAGAGGATTTTATCTCTTCATTCATTCTCACTGTGTCAATTACTCCATTTGTTTGAAAGCATATGATATTTTGTTTTGAGCAACAATGAGCCTCAGGACATATTGCTAATGTTTGGAACTGCACAACCAAACTCATTTTGAAAAAAAAAATCCATTTGGTCAAAAAACATTTTGGCTAAAATAGGTGTTTGGATAGTTTAAAGACTCAAACCTTAGACTTCTTGTTGAAAGATTCATAGGACTAACACATCTCATTTTCATCATTGGGTACCTAAGAAAGAGCACCAAAGTCTTAAGGCTGGTCAAAAATGAGGTGTCTACATATGCCAACAGAGAAAACCCCGATCATATTATTCTCTGACAAGGATTTGCTACCAAAAGAATCAAACCATAACAAACCTTTGTATGTATCACTCAAGTACAAAGACAAGTGGGTATCGGTGGTTCTTGTTGACACAGGGTTCATAGTGAATGTGTGCCCAACACAGACAGCCTATGCGTTGGGCATAAGGCCCTCCGACTTCACAGCAACAAACTAGGCAATTAGGGCATATGATAATACCAAAAAAGAGGTTATGTGAACTATGAAAGTCGGAGTGATTGTGGGAACAAAAGAGCATGAAGTAGATTTCTATATCATGGACGTCCCAACCTCTGTTAACATATTGCTAGGAAGGCCCTGGCTGCACCAACTAATGGTTGTGTCATCTATAGTTTATTAGAAGGAAAAGTACACATGGGATGGTGGGATTGTGACTATCTTTGAGGATACCTCTGTTCGTTTGAGAATAATTTATTTATTATTATTATTATTATTATTATTATTATTTATTTGCGCATTGTTTTGCTTAAGAAAAGTTGTGGGTTCAATTTTGTTGATGTGGCCACATCAATATTAACTTGTATGTAAATTTGTAAGTATACATAGACTTACTTTTTTGTCATATACAAACCATGTCTTGTCATCATGGTACTTTCTATTATGAGTTAAAGTAAAGAGCACTTACCAATAAATCATATTAAATAGACTTATTTATCTACATGTTCTAACTAATAAATTTGTCACTATAAATTTATTTATAAAAACAAGAGAGACTGATAAATTTATCTTTATTAATAGGACTTAATGGATAATAAGTTCCAAAAGTAGGACCTATTAATAATTTGCCTTTAAAGTAATGACTATAAAAGACCAAACAAATTGGCAAACTTATCTGAAGGGGAACTACTAGTTTGGGACTTGACTTCACTTATGGTGAGGCTATCTCCTTTGGTGATTGGTTTCAAAACTAGATTAAACAAGTCCTGGATGATGATGTATTAATTCATTTTGTCTCTTTGTTATGGGCAACTTGGATTCATCATAACAAAACAAACTTTTGTAATGACCTTCTTACTACGCAAACCATTTTGATGGCCTAGAAACTTTGTGATTGGAATGTGATTCCTAAACTATGGTTATGAATCAACCTATAGCTCTAACGGCAATATCCCAACTTTGTTGAAAGTCGGATCAAGACTCTTGCATTCTTTCTTTACTTTTGATATTGCAGATTTACAACTATGGACCTTGTGATTGATGAATCTTGGATCGTGTGGGTCACCTTTGATGTCCATAGAAAAGAAACTGTTCCAATTTGTGGAGGCCTTAAAGTCGTCTTCCCCAATAGTTGAGAAAGCCTGAGCGTGCCTAGTTACTCTATATTTCCACACCGCTAAGACTTATTTAATTTTGATAGTCAAATATATATTTTATTTATTTATTTATTTTGGCTAAAAAATTGACTTTCAATGGGAAATATATTTTTCCAACACATACTTCTTTAGAAGGGTGAACTTCTTTAGTAGAGCAAAATCACTATCAAGGATGCAAACTTTAGATTGCAAAGATTGAGCTTACAAAACATCGAGGTTCCAATCAAATGAATTTTGCTATCCCTTCTTAATATTTTTTATTTGAATGACGAATCATATTGTGCCTATGTTTGATGGTTAGGTGTGGGGCAAAAGGTCATGATTTATGAACAGCCATATTAGGCAGAGAGATGAGCTTATCCAACTTAACTTTTAACTTTCCTTTTAAGGCTCATTACATGTCCATAAAATCTTTGATGACTATGATGATAAATGGACATGTTTGAGTGGGTTTTAATTGGGTTAATTTAAATTGTTGCTTTTGGAAAGCCAAACCAAACCTGCGCAAGTAGTAGGGCTTAATTGAGTTGACTTGTCCTAGGGAAATTTGGCTAAGAAAAAACTAAACGAATAAAAGGCATAATTAATACAGATACAAACTAAAGAATTAAGTATAACAGACATTTTGATTGAATATTGATATAAGTAAAAATGAAAAGTAAGGTAGACAAAGAAAAAGTCATTTTCTTTTGAATATGTAGTATCAATCATTGAGTAACAAATCTTTGGAAATGTGGTACATATTTGGTTCTAAGCTTTTCGCACTGTGATACACATCAATGCTCTAATCTTTTTGCGAATACTTCTCAATTCATACACGCTTTTTAGTGGCATCAAGGCTTTTCATATTGATTCTTAGCAATTCAATTGCAATTAATATATATATATATATATATATTTCGTCTCAAATTAAGGAAAAGTTAAAAATTTTAACATGCGATTGTTTTAAGAATTATGCATATGAATTAAGATACAATGTAACTTAATTGCCTCTAATCTTATATAACAAGAAGCAAGTGCAAAAATAATTGGGAATTAAGCATTGTTTTCTTACATTATATTCTCGATACAACTTCTCTACCTGATAGGTTTTGATGTTCTATATTTGTTGTTCTCCCTCACAAGATTAGCTTGAAACAAACTAATGTGATGATATTATTTTCTTTACAAATTTATTTGTCATTCCTCCATAGTTTGACAATCTTCAAATTCCATTACAGTGTACAACTGAATTAATAATAGCAAAGACTTATTACTACGTTCACCCATAAAACATCTTATTAGCAAAACTTGTGTATATTATACTAAAGAGCATGATGCTTGACTTGAATCCCATGTTGCGGACGAAATGTTAAAACTTGAACTGGTGAGTGACTATAGGTTGGGGATAAAGTGAAGGCATAGCGTTGCAGAATCATTGATAAAGCGATTTTTGTTTCATTGATTGCAAAGCTTGTGCCAACACAACTTCGTTGTCCAAAACCAAATGGAAGATACACTGCTGGGTTGTTGTTGGCAGCTTTAGCAACTCCTTCTGAAAATCGTTCTGGTTTGAAAAGATACACATCATCTCCCCATATTTGACGATCAAGATGAAGTGCCAATGTCAAAATAGTCACATTTATATTGGCCGGAAGAATGAATTGTCCCAATTTGACTTTTCGTTGAACTTTTCTTGTAATGTTGATGATAGGAGGATATAGTCTCAGTGACTCATTAATGATCATGTTCATCTATACAAAAAGGAATAGAAAAGTCCAGTTAATATTGAATGATATGTGTTCTTCAGTGTATTTGTACAAAAGGAGATCTAATTTGATTTGTGATCACTATTGTTAATGTACCTTTTTCATTCTTGGAATGCCTTCTGCATTTGGATCTTGTTGGCCAAACAGTTCAAGGACCTCCTTTCTTGCTTCCTCTTGCCAATCTGTATGGATTGCTAGAAGAAGAACAGACCATGCAAGCAAGGTGGTTATCGTTTCATGTCTAGCAATGTAAAAGGCCTTACACTCATCAACCACATTTTCCCCTGTAATCCTCTTATTCTCATCTGCATCGTTACTTGCCTTCACAAGTAGTCCAAGAAGATCAGTCCCATAGTTGTCTACTTCTGTCATTGCATTTCTATTATTTGACTGATCTTTTTGGACTACTTTTTCTTGTCTACTTCTGTCATTGCATTTCTACTTTTTCGCAAAAATTCCCTTGTTTGTCGTTTGTGCAAAATTTTTACTTGGCTCACACAATTTCCCCCAAGCTCTTGGCCACTTCAAATTACCAAGTGGTAGGTGTGCTTGGCTCCTACGAGGCTGTTTACTTGCCTCAAAATTTGGGTACGTATAAGTACGCTACTTCAACTCTGATGCGTACACTTCATTTATTACTTTTTCAAAACCCTAAATTCTCAGCATTTCGCTTCCAAAAAGTCCCTCTATTTCCTGCGATTTCCCACTTTTGCCTTCTTCATCTAAAGTGTACTTCACATATTCCCTCTCTAAGCAATCCCAAAAAAAAAAAAAAATTGTAAGTTCTCTGTCTCTTTCTCTTTACATTTTTATTGTTGTCCCCTCTTTCCTTCGACCTTTATTTTTTGATTTCTACCCGTGAGGGTTTATGGAAAACTACCTAAAGCACCTCCTCTCTGAGTTGAAGGTCTCTACTTTTCGTCATCAGTTCAAAATCGCATGTGATGTTCAGTTAGAACTCATTGAGGATGGCATTCTTAATCTAGAAATTACAGATACAAGCACCATCGTTCTATCATTATTGGCCATTGCTGAGGGGGAGAGTTCAATTTCCCCTTCATCCTTTACTACGAACCGCCCTTTGTTTCTGGGGCTTAATCTTTTCCCAACCAAACATTAACTTCTTTCAGGTAATAATGGGAATTGCCAAACTGAATGACATTCTAGGCATCTACCTTAACATCCCTGCTATTCAGCACTACTACTCCTTAGGCAAGTCTTTTGGTCGGCTTAGAAGATTTTTCCTAAAAGCCAAGGACGCAGACCATAAACTAGTAACTATGTTAGCCAGTTCAAGTAAAAGCATTGATGACGTTATGGTCTTGGTTTGTCGTAACTGGGAGTTCAGAACCAAGGAGGATTGCTCAGAACCCATCTCTAGACTTAAGGGTGACCCAGGTGGGTGAGTAGATTGTATTGTTTTTTCTTTTCAAAAATGCCTTGTGAATTGCCTCTAATCGGGCTTAATTTTACTGGTACCGACATTAAAAACACCATTAAATCAAGGGATGCCGAGGTACTTGTCCAAGTTCAGAAGGCTTTGAACTACACTGGCCAAAGAGATTGTGAAGATCAAGGTCATGCAGCCCATATCCTCCCAAACTACGATCCCACATACACCACGTTTGCCGTTGCCAACAACGTGTCAATCCCTAAAGGAGAGAATCGTCTCGTCGCACATACTTACGATGATGCCATCAACTTTAGAGACTTAGGAGCTAATTCGATTTCAATAGTGACGTAAGTGTCGAAGTTATGAAAGTTGAGCATAGGGTTTTGGCAAATCATGCTCAAGAGAAGGTTCTTTAAATTATGACACAGCTTGTCCACTGAGCTTGAGATCTTTTTTGACCGAGCAAATCTTGAGGTGCTTACTTGAGACGACTCCGACTTCATCTTTCAAGACTTGGGAGATCTGACAAGCTCTGCCGAAGACATGGGAGCCGAAAAAATGTCTCTCCTAAATTTCCAAACAGAGAAACGTTGAAAAGATGGCAGCGAAGAACAAAGTAGTAGCTGCCAAGAAAAGTCGGCTCCTAAACCCTTGCCTACAGTGCCTGTGGCTGAGAAGGACGCTTAGGTCCCCAGGGGTCTGCGACGGAAATAGCCCTCGCCAAAGCGACGAGAGAAGAGGCTAACCAAAGGGGTTCCAAGGGCCCCGCTGAGTCAACTTGCCGAAGACATGGGAGCCGAAAAAATGTCTCTCCTAAATTTCCAAACAGAGAAACGTTGAAAAGATGGCAGCGAAGAACAAAGCAGTAGTTGCCAAGAAAAGTCGGCTCCTAAACCCTTGCCTACAGTGCCTGTGGCTGAGAAGGACGCTTAGGTCCCCAGGGGTCTGCGACGGAAATAGCCCTCGCCAAAGCGACGAGAGAAGAGGCTAACCAAAGGGGTTCCAAGGGCCCCGCTGAGTCAACTAAGCCTGCCAAGAAGAGGGCTCGTACCTCTCCCACCATGGACATCTCGGCCCCCTTTATCATCCAACCAAAGGTGAAGGGTGCCATCTTGCTAATTTGGGCCTCGAAAAGAATCGCGGGTTGGCTTGGCCATCCTAAGGCCATAATGCTATGTAGATAATCATGGTAATTGTATTTTCCAATAGAGTTTTCCTTAAGGTGGCAACTTCAATTGCTAACATCATTTTTTGTTATTATTTATTTAGGCTACCAAGAGGATCGTCGATGTCGGGCATCAGCATCGTAATGCAGCAACCTTAGTCGATGAGCTGAAGGGTCAAATGGCAGCCAAGGAAAAAAAGGCCCAAGCGACAGCTACTGAATTGGTGGCAACTAATGAAAAGGTTTTCACCGAACACGCTAAAGCCAAATCAAGCGCGCATGCGCTAAAGAAATAGACAAGTTGCTTCTGGCTGTCGAAGAGAAAATAGCTATGTTCGAATCAGCTTACAAGGCAACTAACGCCGAGCTGGCAAAGGTGAGTTAATTATTGTTAACATCTACCCCGATGGCATATGACTTGCCGGCGTTAAGACATAATTCAAAATTAAAATGATTTATTTATCACACAAAATACATATAATCTATATTTCCATACTTCGCACGAGTTATCGCCAGTTCCACTATATACTAAAGGTGTATACAAATTTGTGGCATTACTCTGTGACTAAACAAGTAGACTGGTGGCCTAGTGGTTAAGCAGCTGCCAAAATGGAATCTGATCAAGAAAATAAAGTAGCAGTGAATGTTATGAAATGTGGAACCAAAATATTTTTAATTAGTTGAGAAAACTTGTTACATTTTTCTTTTTTCTTTTCTTAAATGTTATACACTTTATATTGAATATTATGCAATTTTTTGGTAAAATTAAGATAATTTGTAAATTTTCAAATCAAATTACAATAATTTGTGCTATAGTTACATATTTTTTATGATGTGTTAAATTTAACACTACTTATAAAATATGTAAGTTGTAACTATATTAAAAATTATTATAACTTAATTTTAAAAATTCCAAATTATTCTAACGTTATAAAAGATATGCACTTTTAAGAGACATATATTGTAGCATGTAACATTTCGAATCTTAAATCTAACTTGTTTTGTGAATTGATAATCATTACCTTGTACTTGTATTATGTTCTAATACTTGGAAATGATAGGTTTACATTACACCTTTTAATTATTATAATTGGAACCTTCTAAATGTTTACAGCCTTGATTGATATGTTAACGTGATGGTTGGGCAAAATTGGACTACAAATTCTAAATTTGGATATTTGTTTATGACTAGTCGTTACTCTTTTGCTCTTTTCTCTCTCCATATTTTGAATCTTAATGTGATTCTAGAACCATTAGAAAACTTACTTTTGGGGCGTCGATTTATACATAATAACTTCCAAAAACGGAGTTTGGACAAGGAAGTTATGTCTGTTCAAAGTTTGGACACCAAAGCTATCAACATAGTTCGCTTGAGCGAAATTTGACCACTCGAGTGATCCATAGACCTGGACAGCTCTAAATTTCAAAAATAAAGAACCCACCAGCACCCATTCACCACTCAAGCGAACATTTGACTAATCAAACGGTCTGTTTAAAAAACAAAGATACGGTAAGCATCAATTCACTGCTCGTGTTCAAAGTTTGGACACCAAAGCTATCAGCATAGTTCGCTTGAGCGAAATTTGACTACTCGAGTGATCCATAGACCTGGACAGCTCTAAATTTCAAAAATAAAGAACCCACCAGCACCCATTCACCACTCAAGCGAACATTTGACTAATCAAACGGTATGTTTAAAAAACAAAGATACGGTAAGCATCAATTCACTGCTCGAGTGAACCTTTGGTTGCTCGAGTGTGTGAAAAGCTATACTTTTAGTTAGATTTGTGCGGTCAAAGATACATTTTTGTCTGTACTATATATAGAGACTCTAGATGTTTTCACACCACTCTTTCTCTCTCAATCTCCTCTCTATCCTCGGGATCTCTTCCTCTTTCTCCACTTCTCTCTCTAAATCCTACATTCAATCCTTGATTTCATCTACTTAGAGGAGGATTTTCACAAAATCCATTTATTAAAGTCGTATGGCACACTAAGGGCTACATTCTCAAAAATAAATAAATAAATAAATAAACTAAAATTAAAAATATATATATCATTTTTGAACAACTTTAAAATTATAGGATTTTCTCTATTGTCATTGAGGTAGGAATTTTTTACTTTTACTTAAATATGGGTTATAATGTGAATGTGTGTTATTACCTTTATATGAAAAATTAAAGTTTTGGCACGTCTTGCGCGAGAGATTGAATTTTGCTTCAAATTTAGAAGTTTCCAAATCATATTTCCCTAAAATTACAATTTGAGCAATGTATATCTTGTTTATTTGTAATTGGAGGAAAAGCCCTAATTACATTTATTCATAAGTTTTGGGAAAATTTGAAATGAAAGCATTATATATGAAATTGATGATAAAAATGGATAATTAAATTCATTTTGAGAATGTGGATACGAATAATTAAGTTTGGTTATGTATTGCACTTTAAGGGTTGAACTTGGTTGAGATATTTCTTATGTTGTTAACAATCTGTGGAGGATTTGTATAATTGTAAATTGAGTTATTGTAAATCATATTTTGATAATTGGTTTGAATAATGAATCCGAGTAGTATAGTTTGATAAATTAAGCTGGCAGAATGTCTACGATGAAAGACCTAAAACCCGCATAGGAGTAGGTACTACATTTCTTCCGGCTAATAACGAGTAAAGTGAGGGGTGTTATTGGTGGTTCATGCATTTTATAACCACTGGAAGATACTAGCCTAGGGATTCAATATTATGATGTCATAATTGGAATTCAATTATGAAAGTTATTTTGATTAATCATTATAGTTACAAATGACGAGACTTTTGAAATTTATATTATGCATCACTTGCATCACTATCGTATTCCATTATTAAACATAGTTCTTAAGTATAGAAAGTTTTACTGGACTTTGGTTCACTCTTTCGTGGTTAACATTTTTTAGGATTGAATGGTGCACTGCAACCTCAAGCTTGATGGCTAGCGGATTACTGGGCACATGAACCTCTTTTGTTTATTTTGTATAAAGGCCAAGGTCATAGTTATGTTTTGTAATTAACCAAGTACTCATATTTGATAGAGGATATGTACTCTTTATTTTGTGTAAGCCTTAAGGCAAAATGATACTTATTTTGTTGTCTTGGTAGAATCGTGCACATCCCATATGTTCATCTCGTTTAGAATTATGAATCTAGGTTGCAATTGTTGTTTGTGAAGTTCATGCTTTATATGAAATATATATTTTAGAGAGAGAATTAAATTACTCTATCGATCTTATTATCACTTATTGATTTCATTGTTCTGTTAGCTTTTCGGTAGTTTGAAGGTTAAGATTGCTAATTTGTGCATGCCAGCAAGGCATTATGTTCATCCCTATGTGAAAAATCATTTTCAAATATTGACGGTGTGCCTCTACTGAGATGATGTCACGGAGGATCTTGGGAGCTTAACGCTCATCTTTTGTTTATTTTTGTAAAGCCTAGGACTTATTACATGTTTGGGTTGAGACCCTTTTGTTGTAATAGGGGCAATGTCCCTTGAAATATGTAACTCGTTAGGGCATTTCAATTGAGTACTTATTAGACCTTGTACTAGTTCATTACATGCTATAGATTTAGATTTAGGGTTATGAATATATGATTCCATGTAATCACCCTTTGTAAAATCTCTAGAAATATTAGAAAAGAAGTATAACGAGAAGCAGGGCCGGATCCAAAGAAAGCCTAGGGGGGTCACTTGCCCCCTTCAATTTTGAACTTTTTTTTTGTTTTTGTTTTGTGGTTATATACGTATTCTTTTTCTTTCTTAACATGTTCTTTGGCTAAGGATTTATTGTATTGTTCACAATAAATAGTTATTTGATACTTTGGGAGTACTATGTGATATTGTTTATGTAGTAGTTTAAATCAATAGTGTAGTGAAAAATCTTATGTATTGAATATATTTAACTCATTATTTTCAAGTAGTTGACAAATTACTTAGTGTGATTTGTGATTTCTCATGTTTTGACCATCACATAGCCAATGTCATATGGTACTCTAAGATTATTTAATAATTTTTATTCAAACACATCATTTATAAGTAATATCATCTCTTTAATACACTACAGGAAAAAGGAGTTTAGGTGACGTTTTTTTAGCGACGTTTTTTAAAACGTCACTTTTTTTAATATTTAACGACACTTTATAAAACGCAGCATATTTGTTTAACAAAACGATACCGTTTTGAGGCGTTGAAAAACGCCTCCAAATGCGTTGTGATTCACGCGCATGGTCTCCCCCCTTTTCAAACCCTAATTTTGAATCTGAGACTCACCTAAGACTTGGATCTCGAGCGCGCTCTCTCTCTCTCTAAATCTCAGAGCGATTTCGAAGCTCCACCGCTTATTCATTCTCAGAGCGAGGTAGCAAGCACCAACGAAGGTGAGCTCCACTCTCTCTCTTTCTCTCTCTCTCTCTCTACCCTCTCTAAACCCTTATCAGAGCGATTCAGAGATTCATCTCAAAGATTTAGAGATTCAGAGCGATTTCATCTCAGTGATTTCATCGCAGAGCGTCAGAGATTCAGATCGGTCTCCACCATCTGCACCATCGTCTGCACCATTATCTGCACCATCGTCTACTAAGGTGAGCTCCACCCTCTCTCTCTCTCTGAAGCTCTTCCTTCCCGTCGACTCGGTGGAAACTTCTTCAAGCCACGCATTCCAATCCGAGTTCAAGGTCGAAGATGATGACACCAATTCGATGCCCTCTAGTACTATTCCCCAACCCTAGACTCTCGATATATATACATATACAAATAAATGTGTGTCTGTAACCCTAGAATGCTTTAATATTTGGGTGATTTTGAAGACATTGGCTTGATTCAACATGCTGCGTGGATTGGTTTGGCTACCATCACAAGCAAGATTCTAGTGATTTTTAACGATTAAAACCACCTCAACATTTTGATTGTTCTTGCTTAATTTTTGATGTAATTGTTATTGTTTTTCATCGCAAGGATTAATTAGGGAGATTATTGTGGCTTCAGTTTTCGGCATAGGTCCAGTGGCAACTGCATTCAAGTAACCACGCTTTTCTTTAATCATATTTCATGTAAATACTTATCACGTGTTTATTTGTATAGAGGCTAAGATCTTCGGCTCCCAAATTTCTCTGTTTCCAGTGTTGTTTCTGTTGAGAATGAAACCAGATTTTATTCTAGTTACATTCATTATATGTGCAATGAATTTACTCTCTGAAAATAATCGAAGTTATTGTGAGAAAATTATCTTTCAAACATGTTGAGGAGTTATTCCCTTTTACAGAAAGAAATATTCTCATAATGGTTAATTCTGTGTAAAATTTTCAGGTATGCTTATCTGCTTCCTGGTTTTTCTGCATCACTGCTGGGTGGTTAGTTTTCCTTGTAATGTTTAATGAGTTGTTTTGATTTCGGATAGTGCTTACATTCTATATAATATTATGGACAGTATCTGTCGTCTGAAGTAGAACACAAAAAAGCATTATACTTGTCAATTGTTTTGTATGCCATATTTACTTCATTTTGACCTTAATTTTATAATTTTGACCTTAATAATGATTATACATTAAGATAGAACTGTCACAAAAAAATTAAAAAGTAAACCAGTAGTTTTTGATGGGTGCACTATAATGGGTGTGGAATTAGCAACTCCCTCCCACTCCATGGGACTTTACATGATCTACCCACAAGTCAAACAACAGTTACTTTCAAAGCGATTTAGCGCCATAATTGTAATTTCTTCAACCACCCATTTTCCATATCATCCTCCTCCTCACGAATAAAACACTCAAATTACAAATAAATAAATAAAATTAATAAAAAGGCACCAACTGTAATTTTTGTTTTTGACAGAAGGCACACGTCTCTGATCTGAGAGAGCCTGAACAGGGCACCACCACCCAATTGATTAGATTAGTGTTTCTCATTTTCTCTGTACAAACCACATACACCTACCAGGTATGCAAGTTAATTAGCTTCAATTTAAAAATCAATCAATACCTTTATTCAAATTCATTTGTGATTTGTTGGTGTTCCATCTTTCTGCATAATCATTGGGATCCTGTCAGGGATATATGTTAATATATGTCATTGGAATGAACCAAGAATGGACTTTACTTTCTTGGTTGATATATTGATCTGCTCAAATACCAACACGTCATGTAATATTCCTAATAGAACTGTACTGTACCTTACCTTGTAAAATAAACCAATTTCTCACTGGTTTAGAAAACAAAAAACCAAAGCATAGAAAGAAGAAAGAAAACAAATAAACAATGTTCAACCAATACCATGAATCCATGATGATGAATAAGTAAGATTGTTTCACGATGAACCAGGACAGGTAGTCCAACAATTAAGAAGGTGAATTTTAGAATGAGTTAACCTTTAAAAACACAATCAATACTTATAATTTGTAAGTAATTGTAAGTATTCAGAGTTTATATAATTGATGTGTAGCACAAAAATTTGTGAACTTGGGGGCTTGACACGAGTTTATAATTGATGGGTTATTGTGTGTGTGTGTATATATATATATGTGTGTGTGTGTGTGTGTAAGTAGGGAAGATTGAATAAGAAATAAGGGGAAAATGTCTGCAACTGTGAAGGACATGGTGATGAGGTTGACAAGTCATGTAGCTGCTAAAAGAGTGGTACTGTTGAAGCACAAGTATGTAGATCACACTCAGATTGATTTTCTTAGAGGGAATAATTACCGTAAAGCGTCGGTTCATTTGAACCGGTCGTGCAGTCGAGTTCAGCTCTCGCTGTCAGGAAGTATTGCAATTCAGTGCAAATGGATTCACCAACCTCAAGCCCGAGAAAGGAAAGCGACAGCTTGGAAGCTGGTCCAGATCACAAGCCATCCTAACCCCGGTTTTAGACCCGACTCCAACCATGAAGAAGGTATGCATTCTAGCTATTTGAAATATTATTAGTAATGCCTTTTTATTTTTTTATACAACCAAGTGTCCGGATTTACTTGCGTGTAGCTTGACTAGATATCATGTTGAGCTTTAGCATCAAATTAGGCTAATATCATTTATTGGCTTCGTTGGACTTGCAGTAGCTATAGTTGTTCTGTTTGTCCTTTTGAGAAGGTAATTGCAATCTTAGTTGTTGAGTTCTCTCCTCAATTCTCTATTTCTCTCTAAAAAACAAAGTTTGGACTGGTAAAACTTATAAATTGGAGTATCTGCAGATACTTTACTGGACATACCAAAAACACAGATGGAACTCCTCAATTCAAGGCTGGTCATACTAAAGTTTGGTACTGCCATAGATGGAGTTATTAAGATTTTCACTGTTGCAGTATGTGCCGTTTTACAGACATAATTTGTAATTAGGTCACTCTTAATTTGGCTTGAAATTGCTCAGAGTTGATTACAGAACTATGCTCATTCATATGACAGTACATTCTTCTGCAACAATAATTTTTTATGTGAATGATGATATTGAGATGCACGTATGCAACATTAAATAATTCCGCTAATCATTACGAGCTTTCAATTTTTTGAGACTAGCAAGCAAGCTATTTTATCAACCACATTGGGTTTGGAAGTAGAAAGGCATAATTGTCAAATCTTTCAATATTTTACATTCTTTTCTCTAAAATGCATACTATAACTGCCATTTTACATATTTCAAAAAATGTTACATATGTGTCATGGGTATTCTTATTTGGCATTAGTACAGTTAAACTTTTTGATATTATGATGATTGGTGCTCTTCATATTTTTCTTACAATTAGCAGCACCATACAATAAACACACCACACACTTGTTTTCATGCAATATTTTAATTCAAAATCATGCAGTAGTATCTATATTAGCACTTACAAAAATTCCAGTGATGCCCCGATTTTTCAGGGGTTTTATAAAACAAAAATTAAAAGTATAAATTCCAATGTTTGAAAAGTTGGTGCAGTCCATTCAGTATACATCAGACCATCTACATCGTCCCAACATAATCCCAAAGCCTAAAATAATACATGTCTGGGAACATTACTCTAAACACAAGCCTACAAAAAAATGTCCAAATACTAAATCATTAAGTACAAAATATAAGGCAAATGTCCATGATTGCTAATGGCAGGATTAATCATCTAATGTCTCATCAAGAAAGTTCGTGGAGTGAACTCCCCTCCTTGCCAAGGTGAGTTCCTGGTGAGCTGCTGCTTAGCAGGCATATCCTATCCTGTGAGGTGTGTGGACATGCACAATTATATGTACAGTTAAACAAATAGTATGTTAATAGAAAACATGTAGAGCTCAAGCATCATAGAACTGAATAAATGACATGAATCGAGCAGTTTCCCAACTGGCACCCTCTCTACAATCCATCAGTCCTCCACACTCGCCAGTCTTCTGTCTCTACAATCTATCATTAAATTCCACATGATTCCTTCTGTATCTGAATTGGTATTACCCTCCAGTAAATGGAAATAAACTATTTCCCCCCTAGAAATTTATAGTATCCTAAAATATGTTCAAATGGCTAATATATCCTGTTTCAAAATCTGCTACAAAATTGAAAATGGTTTTTGTTATTCATTTTCTTTCTTAATTCTTTCATACTAAGATGAATATGCATTATCTTTATTATGCAGCTCATTTAAATCATTTCTTGGAGTTCTATACCGAACAAAACCGTAGCTTGCTAAAAGCTTCCATGGTTGTAGGTACATGCACATTTGTTCTTACCTATTTTTCTTCTTTATTGTAAAAGTTTTCACACATATGGTAGGAGAAAAGTTCTGATCTACATTATAATTAAATTTATGAAGCAGTTCTCTTCTATTCGCTATTGGTCAACAAATTCCTTTTTGTTTATTAGGAAATGCCTCTTAAACCATACTTACTAACGGATCTATATTTAAAAAAAGATATGAAGGCGTTTTTCTAAAACGTCGCTAAATATGGTCAGTGACGTCAGCGTGTGTTTGGTAGGACATTTGGCGGCGTTTTTAAAAACGCCGCCTATACTAATATCACGACGTTTTTAAAACACCATAAAGCTATAGCGACGGCCGCGTCCTCGGCGTTTGGTGCTTAGCGTCGCAAAAGGAATTGGCGGCGTTTTTGCCACTTATAGCGGCGTTTTTTAAACGCCACTAAAAGTCTATTTTCCACCAGTGTGAAGTGCTCCCTAAATGAACGTTTTGGATTGAAGAATACTTGTGGAACATGAAAGCTTGTGTTGAATCATATTTTGTGTGTGCCAGAGACAATTTCTGTGGGACCATGTGCAACCAGATATTTTGATGTAACAAGGATGAACAAGTTTTTTTTTGTAGAATCTCTCCTTACTCATTGAACTATTTTATTTTTGGTTGTATGTGTAATGAAACAACGTTGTAAAGTTTGCAAATAGTTCAACAAGGAAGGAATGTTGTTCATGTTATATAATTCTTATGAGTTAATTAAATAGATTTTATAATAATTTGTGCTATAAATGATGTGTTTTTATTTTCTAAAATTAGGAATTTTGATCCATAATTTTTTGTGCTAAAATTATAAACTTACATCACCATCCCGTACCGAGCTATTACACACTATTATAGAATTTATTTGTTCCTATTAATAATGATTTTTAATTTCTTATACTTAAATTTAGCTCATAAAATTATTTTTATCTTGATGTTGATCATAATTTTTTTTAAATAAAAAATTATAATTAATAAGTGACCTATCTAACTTAATTACCTAACTCCGCCACTGACGAGAAGAGATTTATTTTGTTTATGTTTGAGTTAATTATCAACTTCTCCATGTGTAATTGGAGTGAATAATAGCAATATTTTTTTTTATTAGTCAAGAAAATTTTATTAAAAATATGAAATTAAATTAAGATACAAGTTGGTGAAGTGTATTGAGAAAAGGTTCATAAGAACGTGCGCATTCTATTATTACTGTAGCTCGCATCCACAACTAATTCCTCAACCTTTCAATTTTAATTTTAAAAGCAAAAGGAAAAGACAACGAAAGAAAGAAGAAGAAAAAAAAAACAAAAACTCCCCACATTTCAACATCAAACAACCAGCAGCAACCTTCTATGACCATTGAAAAATCTCTCCGCCAAGTAGATTGCAGTATTACCCTAGGTGTACCAAAGAATCCTTCTTTGAGTAAAGCCACCTCACTTAAACATCTCTGCTTCCCTTCGTTGATGGGATCCCTTGGAGCGTTCTCTAATGATATAATTAAAAATATGTGATATATGACGAAAAAAAAAAGTAATCAAATGAGATTTTTTATTTAGCACTCATTTGAAAAGAAGAGTTGGGTTAGATTGGATTTGGAGTTATTTTAGATATAAAAAGATAAAATAAATTTTTTAGTCTAATAAGACAAAATATTACATTCAACTTATAATCATTTCATATTTTTCTCTCACAAAAGTCAAAAAAGCCAAAAAAACCTATCACAAACGAGACTTTTTAACCTCAGGCTAAAATAGTTTAAAAATTAAAAAGACAACACACTTCTCAAATGAACTATGATATGTATAAGTGTTTGTTAATTTAAATATTGATGTTGTGTTTTAATGTGTTAAATTATGGCTTCATTTGGTTTTATATTTTTGGCTAAAAAAACATAAAAAGACAAAATTGGTTACATAAGTCAACAAGATAAAATGTCAAATCTAAATCATAATCATTAAAGTAAATTATTGATAAATCCCATTTAGAAGTGTTTTAACCCAAGAAGTCCATGAAAGAATTTTTTTAACCCATTTAGTCCCATGTATGTATAGTTTTATTCCATAAAGTCCTTTTTCTTGATTTACACTATTTTCTGGGATACTTACGCCTTTATATTTAATTTTGATACCCTTATAAATATTTTTTGAACGGTTAGCAATTTTTTGATGCGAACATTCATATTTTAAAATTCACATTGGTAGGAATGTAAAATTGGCCTGTGGGCGGCACGAAACCAGCCCGCAAACCGGGGCGGGCCCGGCCCGGCCCGTTGACAATGTGAATATTCACATTGACATGTTAACATTCACATTAATAGGAGTGTAAAATTGGCCAGCGTCCCGTGGCGGCGCGAAACCCGCCCGCGGCCCATGGGCGGCCCGAGGCAGGCCCGGTCCAGCCCATTGACAATGTGAATATTCACATTGACATGTTAACATTCACAATGATAAGAGTATAAAATTGGCCCACGACCCATGGTTGGCCAAAAGCCTGCCCGCCTCCCGGGGCAGGCCCGGCCCGGCCTGTTGACAATGTGAATATTCACATTGACATGCTAACATTCACATTAATAGGAGTTTAAAATTAGCCCTCACCTCATGGCTGCCCGAAACCAGGCCACGACCCATGGGCGGCCCGGGGTAGGCCCGACCCGGCTTGTTGACAATGTGATATTCACATTGACTGTTAGCATTCACATTGATAAGAGTATAAAATTGGCCAGCGGCCCAGGGAGGGCCCGACGCGGCCCGTTGACAATGTGAATATTCACATTGACATGTTAACATTCACATTGATAGGAGTATAAAATTGGCCAGCGGCCCAGGGCGGGCCCGACCCGGCCCATTGACAATGTGAATATTTACATTGACATGTTAACATTCACATTGGGAGGAGTGTAAAATTAGCCCGCGCCTCGTGGCTGCCTGAAACCCGCCCACGGCCCATGGGCGGCCCGGGGCGGGCCCAACCCGGCCTGTTGACAATGTGAATATTCACATTGACATGTTAACATTCACATTGATAGGAGTTTCACATTGACATGTTAACATTCACATTG